TTTAAATTTTCCACTTTTAGATGGAATTTTACCCCATGAAAACATTTTTACTGGCGTTTTATTTTTCTCATTTAATTTAAAAATTTCCCCTACAACTTTAAAGGTTTTCAACAGAGGGAATATTTCCATTACTTGGTTTTGGCTTCTAGAGCGGGGAATCACTATCAAAAAATTACGAAAAAAATTTAAAAAAAACTTTTAAAATCTTAATTTTGTTTTGATTTTTTAGGTTCAATGGAAATTTTAAAAAAAAACCGGGATTTTTAAAATTTAAAAGCATTTTTTTTTGGGGGCATTAATTTACCCAAACGAAAATATTTTTCCCCTTTTTTGTTACTTTTTTTTTTGCTGATTCTAAACGTTTTTTAAAAGGGGTTATGAACCTTTTATTTTATGATTTTTTCATGTTATTGTTCAATTCTTTTACATTTGGGTTTCTACGTTTTCCTCTTTTGATTTTGTTGAAGCCCAAATTCACCACTCTTTGAGGGAAAATTTTTTTTAAAACCCTTTTGGGTTTAAACGGGCTTTATTTCGTCTTCTTTTTGCTTCGTGGGACCTTTTTAAGTATTTTCTTTTTTGCATTTTTCCCTTTTTAAAAATTTAGTATTTTCTTTGGAAGGGTAAAGGGGTTTAATTTTTGCATTTTACTACATGATCATTTCTGTGTTTACTTATTTCACCTTTTTTCATGTAATTTTGTGTGATTCGCTCCTTCCGAGGGGATCATTTTGTTTTCCAGATTTGTTTTATTTATTTAACCCTTTATTGCAACCGTAACAACTGACAGAATTTCGCTTGGCAGGATTCATTTTTATTTACAATATCTCGTTTAAAGGAACATGGGGGTTTGGTGCACCATTTACCGTTTAAACCCCCAGCAGTACTTTATGCTGCTGGGCACTTGTTCCAAGACGGCGCCCTCTGTTTTTTCAGATAAATTGTTCTTTGTTTTTTAAAAGGTGACACTTTTGTGTACCATGCTTTTCTCGTCTACGTAGTATTCTCCCTTTTGCTTCTTGTCTTTTCATTTTGCCGATCCCATTTGTCCCGTTCCCTTTTTTACTTTGTGACCTTTCCTTGTCGAACTGTTGTTTGTTTTTAAAGTGTCTTTTTAATGTTTGGGGGTTTTTAGGTTCTGCCTTCGGCTGTCCTATTTTTTTTGGGGGGTTCCTCCTGACTTTTGCCCCCGGTTCTTGTTCTGGTTGAAGGGGGGTTGGGTTTTTCATTAACCCCGTTTTTCCTTTTGATAAAACTTTCCCCTACTTAATGTTCTGTTTATTTATTCGTTTAGCCATTTTGTGAAAGACAATCAATACTCGTTTTTTAATTTAGTACTTTTAAATTGATATCACCCAAATTTTAAACTCCATGCGAACAAAAAAAAAAAAATTTTAAAAAAAGTTTATCGAATCGATCCCTTGTACGTCACCCTACCAAAAACGTTTTTGTGCATCTGAAACTTTTTTAGGTTTTTTATGATTCTGCATTGCACAATTGCCCACCAATATTTAAAGTCTATATAACATTATGATTATCATATAATGATAAACGACCGCGTTCGCTTAGGCGCAACATCTTATGGTTGTTAAATTAACATCCTTAAAAAATGCTTATCTACTGAACAACTTTTACCTATCCTTCCAAGAGTTTCTGTTTATTTTTAAAATCGCATATTTTACCAGCAATAATATGTTTTATCTTACAATATGTTATAAATACAGGAAATGACGTCGTTGACGTCAACAATAAAAATACGCAAAAACGGTGTGATACGTTTTCCGTTAAAAATTATTCCACTGCATAACATTGTACCCCTTACTCACTGTTGGTTATAATATTTATTGACACTAATGCCGACAATGTCACGAAAAAAAAACTCAGATCACTTTTTTTTGAAAATTCCATTTTATTTAGTTCTCCCATTGTTTTCTCGTTAAGAGCAGACGCATAATTTTACTTTTTACCATACGCCGCTTTTCATAGAATGACATTTCTGTGTCACGTTGTAGGTTAGGTTTTATGATAACCGCCATTTGTGGATGTTTCTAAATTCCAAATTTCATAATTTTCGTGTTTAAATGTTAAATCTGCTTCAGCCGATGCTAGAGTGACGGTAATTTTTACTTCACAGGATCGTCCATGAACAGGTTCAATCAAACCGAGCCTGCACTATTTTCAAGATTGTGTTTTGATCTTTCTTTAGAGATTTCTGTTTTCTCTATTCTATTTGAACAATGTTGAAAATTGCGTCGCAAGTTAACAGCTGTGTCAGCTGAGTTTGCAACATCAGCAAAATAATAACCACGTGATAATATCAGGGATATTATTACATGTATTCACATTTATACCACTATCATATTGTTCCGAAGATAAGTACAGCTGTAGACTAGGTCGTTCACAAAATGTACAAACTACTTATATCTCCCTGTCTTGTGCCTTTAACCATGGTAAACTATTTATATGATTTGATTTTATTGGACCTGTCAATGATAATAATTATAGCCCTAAATATTCGATCGGCCACATTCGTTAGGCCGCTATAGTTTACGAAGAATTATTATAAAAGTATATACTAACTTTGAGTAATTCAACACTAAGTGGTGTATATGTTCTCGTCACATCCGCAATAGCACAGTCCCCGTCAAAGTGGTTATCCCATATAAATAAAAAATTTGTTTTCATCCCTACTTTTGCCATTGTTTTTAACGGTTTGTCGAATATCTTAGTCTTTCTCTTTTGACCGTCCTTTTGATTCCTTATTTAGGTTTTAATAAACAACTTAAAAAACTATAATGATTTTTTTTCTTACCAAGTATATTCTACCTGCAACTCCATGTGGAACTTCAACTTCACATTCTTCTACGTGACCTTCACCTCTTTTTATCGTCCGGTCTACGGGTGCACTGATGAATCTTATCTTTTGCGGAAATTCACCCTTGCAAAAAATTTGATTTTAACGCACTTAAAAGGCATGTTAAATAAAATTAATAAACTAGATTTGAACAATATGTAATCGTATAAAGTTTTACAAAACAAAATGTTTGTCTTCTTATTGTTTTAATAAGTGAAATAAGTTCTTATTGTTTTCATTAAAATCCAAATTAAGTTACAACTTAAAAAGTTTGTGTAGGGTAACTGAACTTTTGAAAAATTGGTTGAGAAAATAACCTTAGAGAGAATAAACTTATAAACTTATAATTGGGCTCACTGAGTTAAACTGGATAAGGAGAAATATTTCATGAATACAAACGTGAATTTGAACAAAACAATGAATACTGATAGCATCTGAACGTTAGTACAAAAAATGGCAATTTTGTTAGCTTGCACTAACGGCTGCTGTGCACAACATCAATTCTGCATTTTACAAAAGGGACATAACTTGAAAAAATGAGAACAATATTACCCTGTCGAAATGGCGTCTTATTTTAAGTGAACATTTATACCAATTTTAAGTGAAAAACTTAAGTCATAGTTTGCGGAGAAAAGGCACCAAAAAGTTTACAATGGCAAAAATGTAAATTGAAAGAGGAGCAAAAAATTAATTTAGGATATGTGTCTTTTACAATTGCGTTCGTTTTATGACACAACATGTATAGAAAATTTGAAGTGAAAAGCTTTCTGTGGTGTCTGAATAATTGCCGAAATCAACAAAGTTAACCAACGCAAGAGAGTCATGACAAAAGCACCATTTTCTTCGGAATGAGCTAAATATAGAAAACAATTAAGAAGAAATACGCGCACACGGTTACTGGAATCACTAATTTTTAAACGAATGAAGGTATATTTCAAATAACAATGGTTAACATAAAAATTGTCGATATCAAAAATAGATTGGGACAGAGATCTTTGCCTGCAGCAAACTCTTCATCATCCATTTAAATACTTCAATTTTTCTTAACATCTCTTTGTGAACAGTCATCCCCTTTAAACCTTCAAGACAGTGCATTCTATCGTTAGAACGATCTTATACATGTTCCCCATTTTGACATGCTGATTTTTTTTCACAATAATTCTTCCCCGAAACAATCTATAATTTCAAAAAAATCATATTTAAACAAAAGTGAACGTGAAATATTTGCCATGTTTGTGTTATATTAACACAATGTTTTTAATCTTGCATTGACTATTTATGTGCTTGCAGAGATTAATTTAAAAAATGTCAAAAATGGAAACTGCATCACTTAAAAAAAGTATTTAATAATCTTACTCCATTACCATTCTTGTCAACAGATTTCAAATAAAAGGAAAAGCAGCTTCTATAATTATCATTTGTATTTAAATACACACATATCAAAAAGGGGAAATATCAGTTTCCACATAATTGATTAAAGTTACAATACTTTTCAGTGTTGTCCTCGAATGCATGCCATGTTGTCTTTGCATACTACATTCTACCAATATAGTATTCGTTTGTTTTAATTGGTTAACGCAATAAAGAACATTCCAAAGCTTACAAATAACAAGTTTAATCGGCAAAATGTTGAAAGTGCACTCTGTATGAAATGCTTTTATAGATAAAACTGTAATTATTTGAATAAACCAAAAAAAAGAAAATATTTGATTACCTTGGTTATCTGTACAAAATGAAATCTTTGCCTGAAAATTCTTAAGGAATAATCATCTGTTTTAAGTTCTAGGCGAAGTGAGTCGCCCCTTTGTTGCAATCGTAGTGCCTATGTTTATTTTTTTCCGCAAGATTGTCCGTTAAGAAAAATGTCCCCTGAAAATGCTATGATATAAATTTCAGAAATATTATATACGATTAAAATAAGTTATGTTTTAGACACTGTAGTTCAACTAATATTAATTTATTTATTTATAAGTGCCTGGTACAAATTATGAAAATTTGCCGGAAACAAATTTTTAACAAAATCACTTTTTATTAATTTTGCATTCAATCTGTTATATAAAGTGAAAACAGATAAACACTAAAATTGAAATACCTCTTCTCTGTCTCCTGTCAAAAGCAAAAGATTCACTCGAATCCAAAGATACAGTCATCTGAAGTTTTTCCATGTCGAAATAGTGAATTCTATCTGTACAACAATATTGAGGAAGATTATCATTACATACCGCGACTGCCAACTGTTTGTTGTTTTGTATTTGATTCTCTGTGCACAAGTTGGGATACCATTCTTGTGTTGTTTCCTTTTTAACGAACCATCAATGTCTGAAAAAAAAAATAAAAATGATTTCATATCAATAATGAACATTTGTTAGAAAACGCTTAAGTACGTTTTGCAATAAAAGACTTCTTTGTTAAATTACACCATTTTATTAATTATACAATAATCTTGATATATTTGTGTTAAATTCTTAATTGTGTCATGTGTGCACCCTTAGGGTCCTAATGTCACTTCTCAAATAGTGGGTTCTCAACTTTATATATAGCATTATAGTTTAATTCGATTATAGTAATTTAAAATTGGTCTTTTTTAATTTGTGAAAACAGATTCGATATATTTAAAGCCACTGTTTGTAATTGCAAGCAATGGCAATGAAGACTTTCTCCTTGTGAAAGCACATGTGGCGCATCAGATATCAGTTTACTTTTTTCGCTGTCTAAGAAGTGATGCGCGATTAGATATCCTTCATTTAAATTAAAGGTAGTTATTTTTCCGGCTAATGGAGCAACCCTTGCCTTCTTAAGCGATGCGAGCTAAATTTCTCGCATTGTTTTTGTTACTGTTCCGGCTCTTGGGTAAAAAGATGCACATCATGTATTCTAGCTTTGCAATTGATAACTCACAATGTTCAAAAATGTTTTGAAGTTCTTTATTACAAATTACACCAAAAAGATACCTAATGTAATACTGTACTTGACTCGGCCTCCTATTGGTAATGCTATTTTCTTTTGAATTCATTACAAAAAAATCATAGATAACTTAAGGGATAGTCAATGTTCTTTATCATCTATAGTGTGTAAAGAAAACTGGAGAATACCAATGGTTTCAGTAGTAATTGTCTGCATGAAAACTCTTATGTGAAGCTCGCTTTGTGTTTGTTAAACATGTTTTATAAATAGTAAAAAATTTCGAATAATGTAAATAAAGCTTAGTCAAGCGTCAAAGTCCGCCTAGTGTGTTCCCGATCAACTGTTTCATATTTCAGTTCCACAAGAGCTGAAAGCTGTCTCATTGCAAGATCGTATGACTTATGAATAGATTAGGGCGGCTAACGTATTCAATAAAATGATCATTACTTTTCAATTAGCTTGCGTACATTTCTATAAAGAAAAATGTTTATCCTTTAAATGCAGATTAAATATTGGTCCTAGTGTTGTTATATTCAGGGATCGTTCAGCACGACATAATTGTTTTGCTTGTGTTATTTTAGTTCTTTCTATTCGGCATCTTTCTTGTTGGATGGTTCCAGTATTCCCAACTTGAATACTGTTGAATAACCCTAAGGATATGTAGCCTGCTTTTTAATTTTGTCTTTTGACGTCATATCTGTGATATGCAGGCTTCGTAACCTCAGCCAGTTCATATCAAATGTTGAATTCTGCTTAAGCCGGCGCTAGGGGGCGTGGACGGTAGTTTGCATTTGACAGTACCGTCCATGAACAGACTCAATCAAACCGAGCCTGCAACATTTTTAATTTGCCGTGTTTGGCTTTCTTCAGGGATTCTTATTTCTCTCTATTTTCTTGTAATAGTTTAAACAGCCTTTGAAGATAATAAGCAATCGAACATTTGATTTGGTTCATATAAATATGTTTGTACACTTGGTCTTCAAAAGAGCCCTTCTGAAAGCTAAGTTTTAGTTCAGAAAGACACATTAACAATACGGTAAACTTCTAAGACATTAAACTGTCCTATGTTGTCAATTTTACAGTTTCATATGGTGCCTATTAGGGTTGTCTAACCTTAAATAATTGATTTCATTTGTTCTGTTGTATCAAAACAGTAAGCATTACCATCATTTCCCTTAACCGAAGAAGTGGTCGTTGATAATGTAAAGTTCTCCTCTACAAACATGTATTCTATTTTAAAACGTTCACCGTCTAGATTCAGAAGATTCCTGTACTCAATAAACATTGAACTTGCACGGTATGGTAGTATTCCAAGATCATTGTCACTACATATTGTACCTAAAGGTCTTCCTTCTGAAAAATCATATTGGAAACAACGTACAAAAGAAAGTAAGTGACTAACTTAAACATTCTTAGACACTTTTATTCATATTATACCAATGCTAATTAGTATTTTAGTTTATCTGTTAGAACTAAAATGGTAGACTAAAACATAATATATAACAAGTCTTAAACGTTATGTTAGTAAATGAAGATATTGCATTAGATAATGTTATTGTTCACAGGTAAATGTTTCTAAACAAAATATATGAGGAATCTAGAATATTCTTTGACTTGACGTGAGGGCTCTGTTTTTTTAGCGAAAGGGTTCTTATTAAACTGGACTTAAACATATGTTTTTACACAACTGAAATTGAAATGATCTCTACTCTGATTGCCATTGTGAAGTAAAATACATACATATTTCTTACACTAACAATCATCATCTTTAAAGTCAATTCCAAGAAACTTAAAGTAAACATAAATTTAACTTATCAATATATATGGGGTCACACAAAATAGGAAGCAATAACGGAATGAAGAAGTTTTTTTCTTCTTTTTTTTATGTGCAATAAGCTTTAAGACTTGTAGTTATACGGAGGAGAGTATGAATAAAATCGATTAGAATGCACAACTTTTTATTACTTTGTTATGTATGACAACTTAATAAATGAGCGGCACAAACTGATTTATACTTCTCTGCTGATACATTTTCCTGTTATTTATCTATTATTACGATAACGCTAGTAATACAATTAATGAATGAACTCGGTATTTTATTTTTAAAATATTGAAAGAAATTCGGGACACAGGCTTGAAATTTTAAAACAAAAGTTTATTTCGATTAACAAATTGTCAGGCTGCCAGAAGTTGACGTTTAAGATCAAATGTTCAAAAACATCACTTATACAGTGCTTGCAGGTGTCAGCCAACCTTTGTATTCTAATCTGTCGACAACAGATTTTACATAGTGCCTGGACAGATAAACATACGAAAAGATAGGACGACGTTAAGATAAATACTTACAAGTTTTTAAAGTTATAAGACGGTTCCTGTTTTTTTAAACACTTTATATTATAAAATGATAGTATTTTATGAAACTAACGTGTACTGTGTCCTTCATAAATAATTATACTTTCCTCCTCACAACTGGCTGAGCCAAAATCGAGCATTTTTACTGTCAGCGTTATATCATTGTGTTTTGGTGCCTGTTAAAATTAAAATGTTATATTACATATAAAATTGTACTAAAAATAACATAGAAGAAAAATTGTGTTGATTACAAAACATTTTATTTTTGTTTTCTTTAAAATTGTTATAGTTTTGTTTTCTTAAAATAGTAAGTAGTTAATCATATACTTTTTATATTACTGCAAGCTGGCAGGATTTTTATTAATCCTCTTAATTATAACCACATTTCCACGAATAACCTTCTATTATGCACACAAAAACGAGTTAAAGTGTTCTGAGAGTCACAAACCATAAAATAAAGTTCAAAATATACAAGGTCAAAGGGGAAAGTCTGTCCAAATTATTGTTTCTTTTTAATATCTATAATTATTTTACCTGTATTCGGTAAAAACAATTGTCCCCTGAAGTTTCTTTGTTCACTATGCTTGAATCCTCGCCACCTAATATACTACCAACGCAAAACGTGTCATCCGAGAATTCTGCAAATAGGAAAAAAAGACAACATTTTTATATTTCAATACGAAAATTTGCCTCTAATTAATCATTTTTTATACGTTTATAAGACGCGGATAAAGTATTTTCTTGTGCATTCGCACGTGCATAGGTGGGAAAGATAAAGTGCTACATAGAGATTTAGCAGACCTTATATAGTGTAACATTATCAAGACCAATATACATTCACCTACGTGGTTGCATTGTTGATTATGTTTAACTTGCATGATCCTTGCATGTACCACGTGATATAATGTTTAGTCTCATGACGGCATGTAAAATGCCGAAGGCGGCCGTTCAAGAATTATACAACAACTAGCTGCCGTTTTATCTATTGGTTGTTATAGGAATATGATGTAGAAAGTTTAAAACAACGAGTTAGTGTAATAATTAGTTTTAGTGAAAAACAAATAGCTATGTCACAATAGACACTGACTGTTGCGTAAGTTGACGGAAAAGATAATTTAATTATATTTAATAGCCTATAATTCAGCCAAGAAGGAAAATAAGCGTAGTTGCAAGGTTTACAATGACAACGTATTGACAAGTTGAATAATATTCATATTTCTTTACATTCTCCCCAAAGACTACGTTATATTTTAAAAGAATTGCAATTATCGGTGAGAAAATTTTTACTATATAATCAGATGGAGTTATATTTAAATAAAGATACATTAAAGATTTATATAACATTTGTTTTCTTGCTCTGTGAATGAGTGACAGTTCACAAAAATATGTAGAGGAAATGCTTGCTTCGAAGTTAATAATCGTTCTGTCAATTTCAAAACATGTCTTAATGCAAACACATCTGTTTAGTATTCAGTTTGAATCAATTTAATCAGCAACTACAAGAAATGAATGGTAGCAGAATAACACATCTTATGCAGTTTATCATATGTAGATACATGCTAGATTTTATCACTTCACATATTAAATTTTATGACATCTAAACACCTAATATCACAATCGCGCTTTTAATTACTCCAACACAACCACGCCATGGTACAAAAACACCCCAGTTGACTAACAGTTTAGTGGTCTTAGTGTCCTTTTTGTGAACAATCCACATATCAGAAGAAAGGCAAATTATATAATTAACGGGTAATAAATTTTTTTATCTCCGACGACCTGCGTTTAAAATAAAAGAGTAGCTTGATAATCCTTCCGACGAAGACCTAATGTATGCGCATTTGATTTGTTCTTGTGACTGTTCAAATATAATCTCACTTAAGTTACTATTTTTGATACAAATCAACTCCCAAGAGTTATTCAAATATAACTTTCAATAGGTTATCTATTAGGAAAACAAATTGTTTACTTTACGTGTGTCTTTTTGTCTGTAACTTTGATTTCTTTTGCAATTCCTTTAAGCGACAAAATGAATATCAGGTGATATCTGCTGAGTCGAAAAAAGAATATCTAAGACAATGCCAACAAGAGTCGGTTATACTGGGTGATGCCCCAATTAGGTTATGGACACAGAAAAGTATACCTCTTGTTTAGGCATGACAGAGTTAATGTTCTGTGCACTGTACTTCTACTTAATGAGATATATCTATTGACTTTGTTTCTTGTTGATACTTCTTGTAGTTTCACAGTGATATCCTGGACAAAGTTTACAGAGTAAAGATGAAAAGGGCAATAACTCACATTTGGCAAGACAGAGTTATTTTTCTTTTTCACTGCATATCTACGCAATAGATCTATCTACCTACAAAGTTATATGTTGATATATCTATAGTTTTGGGGCAATGTCCAGGACAAAGTTAAAAAATAAGAAAAAAAGGGCAATAATTCCAAAATTAGGTAAGGCAAAGTCACGGTTCTTTTGCACTGCTCGTTTTGCAATAGGTCTATCTAACTGCAAAGTTTCATGTTGATTTCTCTAAAATGTCAGTTATGTGCCAGTTATGTGCAAGTCTAAAGTGTAAAAATGAACAAAGGGCAATAACTCTTAAATTAGACAAGGCATAGTTAAGGTTCTTTTGGCACTGCCCTTTTACCCAATGTGATCTATCTACGTAGAAAGTTTCTTTTCGATATTTCTTATAGTTTCAGACTTGTAGCCCGGACAAAGATAAAAGTAAAAAAAATGAACAAAGTGGAATAACTCTAAATAAGGGAACGCGAGGTCACAGATCTTTTGCACTACTCATCTACATAAAAAGGGAAGATAATTAAAAAACAATGCAAAATAGAGTCATGATTCTTTGGCACTGTATCCCGCCTTAATGTCCTCTACCACTGTGTGCAGTTTAAATATATTTTGTCCAAGGGTTTTCAGGTAATGCTCAGGACAATATTTCTAAAAGGGAAGATAATTCAAAAACTGGAAAAAAATGGCTATGGTTTTTTGACACTGTACCCCGCTTCACTGTCAGTCTACCACTGTGTGCAGTTCATACAAATCATGTCTAAGGGTTTTTAGGATATGCTCCGGAAAAGCAAAATGAGCGGACACATGGATATATGGACAAACGGACAAGGTGGCGACAATACATTCTCCCTTCGGGGAGCATAACTAACTCTAGAAAGTTGTCATTTTCACAATACTATTAACATTCCATGATTATAGCAAGCGGGTTGGATACCTTTACACACGTAATACAACGATGATGAACATAAAAATAATGTGTCAAAGGCAGAGTTGTTTAAAGAGTCGAATGCATATTTATATCGGGGCTTGATCGGGGTTCAATACTGTTTGACCGAAGGCTAAGAAATCATTTAAAAAGAAAATATTGAATTAAATATGTTGAAAGTTAAATATCTTGACTTTTTGATGCTGACATATATGTAATCAAAAATCAATTAAATAATTACTTTTCACCGACTTGATTGTGAATTTGAAACCCTTATTTTCAGATGAATCATCAGACTTGAACTGTAGTTGTATTATGTTTCCAAATGTGATATATGTCAATGGATCAAAACCACAGTGTCTGCTTGTTGTTCCATCAAATCCCTTTTCTGTAATCTTAACATAGTCCGAGCTAGAAAAAATATAACAGGTTCAATAAATAAAAAGCAACTATTATATCAATTTGAAAAGTATTTCACAACAAGTTGTAGGATAGTTAAGTAACACTAAGCCCAAGTGGGACAAAATGCACACATTAAATGTGTAATCATAGCATTCATTCAATGTATAAATAAGACGCCTGTTGAACGAAAATGGAAACTCGTGCGATTGTTATATATGGCAATAAATTGCCAATATACTACTTCAGCTACATACAAGAAGCCCGTTAAGTTAAATGAACAAAGATCAATTATTCACTGGAAACTCGTTTTCAGCGGGTGCAAGCGATTCAATGAGGGCAAATATGAAATCAATGACGGAAAATGCACTGGACGTTTCTCCCAATGAAAGAAAGCATGCTGCCCGGCATATTTCATGTAATTCAAGTTTGACCAAAAAAAAACATAAGTGTGTCGCAGGGTTAAAATATGTCTACACTGGATAGAAACAAAGCCTTGTCGTAGGATCGATGTATTTATTTATCGCAAGTAAAACTGGTCACAAAAGATAGGTTATAGTGGTATGATCCTAGAATACTTAGCAGATAATCATCAAATAGAAGAATGCATGTGAAAGTTAAGTATTCATTTTGTGACATCAAGAACGACATTTATTGTACTGTGAGCTTGTTCCTAGTCAAACATTCAAATGATCTTTTTCGCAGCATTGTTATTTGTTAACGTATTGTACTTATTCTACTGTAAAAAGAGGACATGCTCCTAGATTCTCTGGTAAAATTGTAAACGTAAAATAAATAAAATGTGAATAGTTATTACTTTTTTAACAACCTTGTTTAAATTTTACGATGAAGAAATATGGATTAACAGAAAAAAACGCAATAGAGAACGCACCGACTGTACACTGTAACACCGAACTTTGGGTCAAACGCACTTTGGGGTCCGATAAACGGTAAACTTTACTGCGCACTATTTGAGGGGGAGCACAAGATGACGGTCGATATACATCAACATTTATAAGCGTCATTTAAATGCTGATGTAGCAGTAATTAAAATAATTATGTTCTTTTGTTGCTTAAATGGAAAGTGTTTTATTAATTTTAACACTCGAAATATCTAAAAATTGCGGCTTTATAACAAACCACTTACATTACGAATGTATTCCTACAAATTTGAAAAATATCCTGTTCTGTCAGCCATTTACTAGATAACTTTTGGTGCCATATTGAACACCATATTTAAAACGATGGGGTGTAATAAAATGCAAATGTCATCTCAGTGCATTTTAATTTCAATTTTAATGAAAAAATTGGATTTTTTTTATTAATAGAAAAAAGTTACCTGAAGGGAACATCAAGCCTTTTTTCACACCAATTAATGCCTTACAGTAAATTTTGGTTTTCATCACGTTAATCCTCGAGATTTTACCGTTTGGCAGGTACCAGTCATAATATTTTATGAAAGTAACTGCTATTATTAAGAAAAATCAAACTTTCCTTCCATGTTAAATGTACTTTGACATTTCTGCACCGACTTAGTTTTAATTTTTGGCCATTTACAAATTTTCGTGAAGCCCAATATTTGATGGCTAAAACTATAAAAAAGTGATAATTATAGTAACGATCTTACCACTTACCACGTGATAGTTCTTCGATATGCACACATTTCTTTACTTTTTTCAACTCTTTTTCATACGTTACGAGACGTTTCTTGCAGCCGAAATATATTATAAACAAGATCAACTAGGAAAGGCGGCGATCAATGAACGCAAGCCCTAGACGAGTCAGCAGCACGGAGCTCTGGAGGACCCCAAACAAAAAAAAGGACGGGGCACAAGGCAGAGCACGGACAGGATAATCCCATAAATGATACCTAAAAGGAAACAATAGTAGCCGAACAGGAAATCAAAGAAAACAAAGCAAAAGAAGTAAAAGGGCACATCGGAAGGGGACTCGAGATTCGGGGAAGAAATTGGCAAAATTAAAACAAAACTAGGGGCAAAAGGGAAGAAACATACCGTAGACGACAAAACAACAAGGGACACAAACAAAAGTTTCACCAAAACAGTATGAAACAACAAAGACATACAGAGGGGCTTCGCCTTGGAACCTGTCAGCAGCATAAGTACTGCTGGGGAGTTTTTATCAGTTAATTGCGCACCAAATCTCAGTCACGTTTCATTGATTAAACATTACCAGTATTATTACTTTGATTTTTGACTCAGATATACTGGTTACTATAAAAAGCGTCTGAGAAAGTAGTCCCAAAATGTTAATATAAATTAAGGTTTCATATTTGCATGCCATATTTTTACATAAACATTTAACAAACACACAAATCTACCACATCATTGTTCTGGTTATATACAATGAATTTTATGAGATTCATTTAATATAATTTAGAATAGTTTATTGGAAGTATAGTTTAAGTATAGGTTAATAAACATTTGCCAGTACAATGTTATACATATATATACCCTATGACACACGTTTCCGTTATGTTTCGTAAAGCCAAGAAGCGTTATATTGGATATAGGATGTATCTAACGTTAGTGAATTATAAGTTACTTACATACAGTTTTCACTCTTTTCAACACTAAAGTAGTCGGATTGTAGGATCATAAAATGATCATCAGCTGTCTTCAGTGTCCATGTACAGTCTTCAAAAACTCTGAAACAAGTAGCAATCTAACATTAAATTCTACGTTTGACAGATCAATAAAGATAAGAAAAATGCTTCCGTGTTTTAATTTCTCAAAAATATAAAAGAGAATAACAAGTTTTACCTGAGCTTATCGCTCTTGTTCTTTTATATGCTTAAAGAATCTGTGGAAATTATAGCATGTTGACCTATTAATACTATATCAAATATAAATGAGCTAGTTTCCTGAAAGTCATATTGTAATATTGAATTTAAGGAGATAGATTTTGAAAATCATCTAAATAATTAAATGGTAAGAGCTTGAATATAAGGCTTAAATTGTTAATTTTCATACTCTACTATAACACTTTATGGCGTGTTTCTTAAACCAAATCAAATAAAAATCTTGAAAGGGATTGATTCCTATGTAGCATTAAAACACCAATAAAATATTAGGTCTGTTCATGGCCTGCTTATACTAATTTTCATAAGTACATAAATACGATAAATAAGAATTTATATAAAAACGAATTGACATCATCTGCTGTATATCATGTTACCAGAATGAAAACTATATTTATAATGTATGTTACTGACACACTGTAATTAATTGACAAAGAACTCGGCTAAGGGTCTTATTTTAATTCTATTTGAAGTGACACTTCCGTATCCGTATCCGTACTTGCTTTTTACGGGAAATTGCAAATTACCATAAAGGGCAAAGTTTCTTGTTAATACTGTCAATATGTTGTTTACTAAATTCGATGTTTTCGCATTATATGTATCAGGTCAAATCTTGACCTGTTACATTTTTAAATCATTTCATTAAAGTTTTCTTCTGTTTTCAAACGTTATTACAGCTCTATTTGTGAAGTTCTCTTACAAATTGCAAATCTTACTGCTTTGACAATATTTTCTACGTCCGTCTAAACACATTTATTAATACATAATGGAGACTTTAAACGTCCTATAAATAATACTCCTTTAGATATTGTTTCCTTTAAAAGTTACAAAAATCTGTTTTTCTATTTTTAAACTCTCCGTTGCTCAAAATGCTATTGTATAATATAATACTCTTAATGCTCAAATGAAGGAGTATCAATATCATTAAATTAAGATACATTACACGGGGGAGAAAGTGTTGCACGAGGGATTGAGTTCTAATGATAACTTTTCAAGGAGTTCTTGTGATAACTGTCACGGAGTTCGTCGGAAAACTATTGTATATACTGCAAAACACTCGTCAAGAATGGTAATTTTCCTCTTTAGAAAGTAAGTTTTAGGTGCTTAATTAAACTTAAATGATTAAGCTTGCCTAACATATTGTATTATGTGTCAAAAACTAATTAATAGTCCATTTTTCATCGCCTCTTGCTTAAAATCTAGTAGCTTTGTGTAAAAATCCAATTTATTCGCCAATTTGTTAGTATTGACCTGTTTATTTCAAGTCCTTATCCTTGCCATACATAATACATAATTACCTAATTATAATTCAAAATTTCAAACATAAAGCCCCGGGTAACAAATTTATACCCGATTTTTCAAATGTCCCGGAGTTCTTGTGATACCTCAAAATATGTCCTGGAATTCTTATGATAACCTTTATTACAGCAAATGTGTTTCTTGCGCTAAACCATGGCACGTTTTAGCCGTTTAAAATTAATTTATAATGTTTTTAAACTATTTGTATAAATAAAAAAAATTCTTGAATCTTTACAAATTTTGTCGCAAGGAAACTTTGTTTCCAATTATATATATATATATATATGTTTGTGTGTGTGTATGTGTGTGTCTGTGTGTTTGCGTGTGTGCGTGCGTGCGTGTGTGTTTTCTTTGTTGCATTTCCTACTGAAAATTAAAGGAAAGGTTTATAACAATTTTCCGCACGAAAAAGTTATATAAAAGATGAGGGCATCAAATTACGTTTCTATTTATTTTTCGAAAAAAGCTCGAAGGCAGAGGCATCATGTAAACGCTCGTTATTGACAATTATTACTTGACATAAAGTCAATGAAATTATTTATAGAAATGAAAAAAAAACCCTTAGATTTCTGACATTTAAGAAAAAAACTTGATAAAAACAATTACCTGTAAAATTCTACACCATTTATTACTCCCGTCCTGAGCCGAATTTCAGCAACACCACCCATGAGTTCCAAATCTATTTCTCCGCCACATGGTTCTATAAATAGAATATTGCCTTCAAAAAGGTTTTTAAAAGCTCTAAATGCTGATCTTTACAAAATTTATAATCATAACCTAAGTCAGCAGCAGAAAGCGAACCTTATTTTAGTTTTGAAAGTAAAGCAAAATAATGATAAATATATATACCTTCTCTCGTTGAACGAAATTTCAGTTCGGCTGCTTTCAGAATACATGGTAATGTTACCAGAAGGGCAAAAACTAAACATTTAATTCCACACATCTTGTTTTTACAAAAACATATTTATGTTTATAATACAAAAAAAAACAACTTCGTTTTACAAAAACACATCTGTAACTGTTAATATAATTGTTCAACTTTATGAAAAAAGTATGTATACTTAAAAACAGGATGTGACCTATATATTTTCTGTTGCCGTTAGAGTTTTCAGAGAAATAACTTAGGCAATAGGAAACCTCTTGTTTCATAGAAGTAAATAAAGTGTTTGCTAGCTAAGCAGGGCGGTTATTATACCGACACAAGTACTTCAGTCCTTATTTTATTTTATATTATTAATAATTATGAGAATTTTTGTATCACATGTGCAGATCCATATTATATGTGTAATTTATTGTTTATTGCTGTATTTATATTCATGAAAGATTCTGTTTTTATTTGACAAAGTTTTTTATTCCCGCGTTAACGTCACGTTCTGTTTAGCGTATAGTTAAACGGACGTTGCCTCATTTGTAATTTGTTATTTTATAAACGTCAATTTTTTCTGAAGAAGACTAAACGTCGAAAGCTTAAGAAAAGCGTTTGTTTTTATTGAACTGATTATTATAGTCCTTATAAATGAAACATGAAATTTTATCGCTTAATTATATCTTCTAGTAGATGTTAATTAACCTCATTTCCGTGCATTAAGATCTGCAGACGCATGAAAATGCATTTAAATCTTCGTCCGCAGGTGGTCGTCGTTTTGGTGATTTCATCAGCCTTCCTTTATCGGGCCCTTGCAGTTAATTTTCCGCTGTTCATGCTGCTCTGTCTTCCTTTAATACGTAAAGTACTTTTCATTATTGTCATTGGGTTAACTTTTATATGGATCTAACTGATCATTTCTGTGTTTTACTTATTTTACATTTTTTAACCAAAAACAGACAGGTTTGGTGCACCAATGAATAAATTCATCTCCCAAGTAGTGTAAAAGTTGCTGAACATTCCAAGGCGGCGCCATTCTGTATTTTGACAGAAAGAAAAATGAAAATTAATAAGCTTATATTTGCTCATAATTAGAAACACAGAAATCAGGTTTTTTTTAAGAGGGGGGGGATAAACATTCGACCAAACCCATGGAGAATACTTGATTTTAATAGCCTTATATAGGTGTTTTCGTGTCCTTTTTGTAATTTTAGAACGGACGGAAGGAAATTGAGACTGCAAAATTCAGACGATTTATAAATGTGACGACCTTTCTCATGTCAATGGCACACTAAGTCATTTGTATCAATTTCATTTATTTCCAGAGTATACATATTAAACATGCAGCATGAACTTAAATATTTCTACAAAAGTTATATAAATCATGAATCTAGATCAAAATGAGCCCTACCACGGGCCTGGGAAGTAATTTGTATAAATTAAACTAAGGTATAAGAAATGCAAAATGAGAATAAAGATCAACAAGGCAAGAGCGACGTTCACAGACAGCAGCCCCTCGACACAATCAGCCATACAACAAAGGGACCCGAAAACTTTACCCAAAACGGGGAAACCAAAAAGGGGACGGGGAAAAAGGGGGAGATGAATTTAATTAAATGAAATTATAAAAAAAGGCCAAACTAAATTTAAGGGGGGGGGTTTTTAAAAAAGGGTAATAGGGGCGGCAAAAATGGTAAAAGGGGGAAAAAGAAAAAAAAAACGAAAGAAAATTTAAAAATAAAAACTAAAAAAAGTGAAAAAAAAAATTTTTAAATAAATATGTAAAAAAAAATAAAGGGGAACCAGAATTAACCTTTTTGGAAGGAAGTCTTTTTTTCCCCCCTTATTATTTTTTTTAATTTTGCCCCTTTCCCTCCCCCAAAGTCGACCCCCACCCGTCCCCTTTTAAATATTGCCCTTTTAATCAATCAATTTTTTGTTTTCTTTAATTTCCCCTGCGTTACTATATTCCCTTAAGTAACTTTTAAGTGATTTTTTCGTCTCTCCCTTTTTCCCTCCCCTTTTTTTTCGGACCCTTTGCTCTTACCCTGGTTATTTTGATGAATCAAGTTTGGGGATTTTCAGAACGCCCCCAGCCCTTTTTTGATTTTTTACAAATTTTATACATTCAGTTTAAACCTTTTATCGAAAACCCTTTTTTTTAACCCAAAAGAACCTACGAATTTATTTTAAAAACACTCTCCATAAATTTAATTTTTAAAAATTCAATTTTTAAAAAAAGGTTTAAAAATTTAAATTCAAAACGAAGAATATGTTTAAATTTTCTGTAAATACTAAAATTTATGATACAATCCTTATAAAAAATTTAAAGAGAAAAAATTGACTTTTTTATCCAAACATCGCAGTCACAATCTAATTTATGAGAAAAAAACCAAATTTTTTAACTTATATTAAAGTGAAAATTTTAAAAACAAAATTACCCTTTCGTTTTTTAAACAATCGCTTTCCCCTATAAAAATTTTTTTTAAAATTTTCCTCTATGAAAATACAAGCCTCGTATTGGAAAAAAAAAACTGCCCCATAGACCCCAAAAAAGTTTTTAACCACTTCGAGAAAAAAATGCTTTCACCTGGGGGAATCATAAGGCTAATATTTGGGAAAATTTGGCTTCTAGATTTTAAAATTTTATTCCAACAAATTTACATTTTGGGGATTTTGCTTCGCTTTTTAAAGATTTTTTTCAAAGCTTTTTTTAAATTGTTTAAAAATTTTAGCACTTTTTTTGGGTGTTGCATTTAGAACTGTCGAATTTTAAAGAGACTGTTTAATACGATTTTTTTACTTTTTTAGATCAGAAGTTAGATTAAAAAATGAAGCGGTTTTTTTTTTTTTTTTTTTTTATTTAACGCCTTTTTCCCAACAGTATTTTACATTTAAGGGGGTTTTTCCCCACGTTTTTGGGTCACCAAAACCTTTCCCCCGCCTAAAAATACCAAACACTCCCGGGGCAAACCCCCCCCAAGAGGTTACGAATTAAACAGCGATCTAACCCCCCGACCACGGGGGTAAAAAACAAACATTTACACCGCTTTTGAGTCTTATGACCTTTTAAACCTTTTTATAAATTAAAATAAGCAAAGAAAATTTTTCATACATAATATAAAAAGCTTTAAAACACCCCTAGAAAAAATAGAAACAATGAAAAAGAATTTATTAAAAAAATTTTAAGGAAAACCCCCACTTTGGGCCACAGACAGATATTCTTCGAGATAAGGGGACAAAACCGATGGGGTTATTCATCATTTATTTGGGAAAACCCCAAAACAAACCTGCGTTAAGTAACAAATTTTAATTTTGTTTCTTTTTTTATTTTTTTGGTTTGTTTCCACTTTCCCCTTTTTGCAAAAATTTCTCATCAAATAAGGATACGGGTTTAATGGGACCTTTTTTTAAAATTGACAAAAATTATGACATTTGCCTTTCAAAAACTGAAAAAAATATCGGTATATCAAAAGAAAAGGGAAAGAAAAAAAACTATTTATTTTTTCAAAAAGGACAAGATTACCCCAGATCACTCACATGTGATACAACATAAGAAATGGTTAAATTCCAGAAATTAGATCACATTGTCATTATTTCTCCATGCTGCATTATTGTTAAATAAATAACCCTAACGGCAGGATAACATTTTTTACCACAGGGATATGATTTATACAACTTTTGTACGTGTCGACTTTACAATTATATTAATAGGGACCGAAAATGATTTTTGAGATTCCCTTAAGTACAGACTCAATCAAACCCAATCTGCAATTTTCACGTAATTTTGTTGCGATTAGTGCTTCCAAAGAATCACAAACTTTTTCCAGATTTTTTAAATTCATTCTACCCTATTAAAACTAAGTGATCCCCGTGGCAGGGCCAATTCTGGTTCACGTTAACCTGATTGATTTACTGTTTGAAGAAGACCAGAATATCTTGGAAGGAACTGTCCCTGATATTGACTTTTAACATAACCTTTGTAGATATCCACAAGGCAATAATACATGTCAAATATCTAAGGTCTTGGCATTGTTGTTTCACAAAATCAGACTGAAATGTTTTTCCAGTACAATAAGATAGAGAAAACAGAACCCCTAAAGAAAGCCCAACACGGCAAAATTGAAAATGTGGCAGACTGTTTTTGATTTGAGTCTGTTTATGGACGGTACTGGAAAAGGAAGGTTACCGTCAGACTTATATAGGAGTTTTCGTTTCCGGTCTGAATCTTCTGAACCGGTGGAAGGAAATTAAAACTATTAAGCAGAAACGTAAACCATAATGAGACGATGTGCAAAGTCAGATTTAGTTAAAACATATTTATTTTCCGAATAAATACATTTAGACATGTACAATACAACTCAAATATTTTTTAATTAAAGAAAATGATTAGAACGGAAGACTGAGTCTTATAAATTTCTTCTCCATAAGGGCGCAGGTTTGATCTCCTTATCAAACTTTTAGTGTTTTTTTGTTTTGTTTTTTTTGTTTGTTTTTTTAGATTATAATATTTAAAGAGATTTTAGGTTTATATATTCTAATTATTTTGAATAAGACATCTTATTAATGAAACATATGTTAATTAAAAAATGTAAGTTTACTAAATTACAATAAGTTGTAAATGATGCATATAGAATATCAATTTAAAAAAAACTTTTGACATGAATTATGTCTGAAGTACCTACCCGCCATTGTAAATTTACAATGATGTCTCTGTTTTGCCATATTGTTGCAGTCTTACTCTAATTGAATTGAAAGACTGATATGGCTTTATGTGTTGATGTGAAGTGGCTGTACCTGTTTTATGATGAATTTTGCATTATCGCTACAAAGAAAAACCCTGCCATTGGTCTAAAAATCATTCACTGATGATAAAAAATGGCTGTGTCAAGTGGGTTGCTGGGGGATGTGTAGGTTGTGCACAGTTTGCATGTTTTCAGATTTAAATAACTACATCATGTTTTATCCTCCGGCGTACAACATGCAAAGCGTAGATTTTTTGCTTGTATCATCACTTTGTAAAAGTAGAATTGTTAGTTTTGTAGAAAAAATGAGCATAAGACGGATGTTTTTGTGAGCTATAAATGATATAAATGTAAAGAGAAGTAATACAAAAGAAGAGCATTATCTGCAAGCATAGCATTTTGATTATTATTTAGGCTTCACGTGTTGAGAATTGAGTACCGCTCAAGACATGCTAGGGGGCGTGAGGGATGTTGCACATTTACATTATCCCTCATGTACAGACTTCTGCAATTCTCTTGTAATTGTGTTGCGATTAATGCTTCCAAGGGATCAATTAGTTTCCATAATTGTTTTAATTTGTGCTTATACGTTTCTAGTTTAATATTATTTATGTTTGTTTTACTTTTTATCATAAAAACAGCGAAAATCAATAAACATTATTGTTATTTTAAGTAAGTTTATATAACAATTCCGTGGAGGCAAATAATCACCACTCTGCGCTTCGGAGTTAGCTTGACCGGTGGCTATCTGGGGTCTGTATTTTATAGTAAAAAAGCTATGTCATATATAATTGTAACTAAGTATTCATATGACAAGAGCATAGTTCATTTCATGTGTCAATATAAATCATTATATTGATAATTGAAATAAAAAAACAATTGTAATAAATCGGTATCCTCTCTGTTTAAAAATATTTTTTGATTACTTTAAATTTTATTTTCTAAAAACAAATTTGCATACGGGCGTATATTTCCACGTCTGTGTGGTGCTGTTGTTACCCCAAGGGCATACCTTACCTATATTTTATAGCGGTCTGCTAGACAATACTATTTGCAAAATATCTCTTGTCATCGTAGTTTTACAAAAGATAACTAACAGTATTTTTCTATACAAACAAATTAAAAAAAACACTGGCTTTGCCAATTTCTACCCAGTGGCATGATGTATATAATGTTTGTACAAAACTACGTGGATGCTTCAAGCAAAATGTCTAAGCTCTTGAAATTGTAGTTTCTGAGGGGATTTAGTATGCATGTCTTTATAAATTAAATGAACCCCCGGGGTCCAGCCAATTTTGCATTTACATAACTTGTGTAGAAAATATGATAAACGAGATCAACAAGGAAAGACGGCGTTCAATGAACTCAACCCCCACATACGACCCAGCAACCAGTGGCAAGGAGCTCAGGGGGACCCAAAACAAAAATGAAGTTGTCAGGAAGTCTACTTGACAATTCTACAAACCATATATATAAGCTCTTGGCATGTAAAATTGTAAGAGAAAGACCTAAGGAAAAAACCCAACACGACAACATTGAAAATGTTGAAGGCTCACTTTGATTGAGCCTGTTCATGGACGGTACTGAAAAGTGCAAGTTACTGCCCTTTTTGAAGTCACCATTGGTGTAACTACTACTAACCGTTCCAAAGCGGTACCCCTTCGTGTTCCTTTACGTGTCTTACATATGTTAATTGCTACATGTTTTGATGTTTCATGTTTTGTGGAGTCTTACCTTGTTGAATTGTCGCCCCCCTCTGTTTCCCCTTGCAACCCTTGTCCCTTTAATTCTCTTATTACGTGTCTTTACCATTCCTTGACCACCCTTGTGTCCTCTCCTTGTTTTGGTTTGGTGCAATCTGGGTGCCCTGCTGTTATATCTAGGGCTGCGCCCTGTGAACTTTGCCTTTGCCTTGTTGATCTTTATTCGCTTTTTTGTAATATATTTTCATTAATTAAACTATGTTAACCGATAACTTCTTAGTCGTTTTCCGAAATTACCCTAAATTGTGTGGCGGCGTGGACGAGTGGTCAACTCGTCGCACAAGTAACCTATGGATTACTGGTTGCATTGGTTCATACGCCGTCAGGTGTTACCTTTGTTCTTTGAAGAAGAAACTTTTACATTCTTTGCTTAGTACTGGTTGATTCCAGAAACGGATTTAAGCGGGTTTCAATAAGCTTATAGCTTCCAACACAATCGGAACTTAAATAAACTTGTACAAACTAATTTACCGTAAATTAATTTCATTCTCCTCATTTGAATATATCGCCGATTTAAGGTACTTTCACCCTATTGTGTGTCTTTGTTGATACCAGATGAAGTCTTGAGTAAAATTCAAATTTTGTGATGGTATGTTGCATTAGATTCTAGTTTTCTAACTGGATTGTTTTGTCTTGACATCGAATCTTAAGCTTTATGGAATTCTGCAACATTTTCAATGTTGCAGTTTTCAGCGTTCCTAAATGTTTCCAATTTTCTCTGTTGTACTTACATTGACTAAAATATCTCGGAAGTCATTTTTGAATAACCACTCATCTCCAGATTGTCTACTGATGTCCAGTTTAATAGTAATTTTTATAATGATAGTTCTTTTGACTACCGGATTTTTATATACCATTATTATGGTATTGCTATCAATATGTGTTGTTACTATTTTCAATATTTGTACTTTAAACATAGGTAGAAACACATTATGACATAACTTTAGGTTAATGGGATTATGTTATCTTCTCAGATTATTCCTATGTGTTTGGTAACATTTTGGTATAACCGTTTCACAATCAGTATCTATTTGTTTCACTGATTGTGTAAGACTTTACATTGGGTAAAGCTATAGGGTATTTACAAGTGAAGTGATACGTTTCAAAAGATCTGCCAGTTACAAGTTTGATATATATTATGCAGAGGTCATTTTAAGGCATTGGCAGGTTACCAGTACGTAGTTACCTTTATCATGACATCAGCATTAGTAAAAAGAAAGAGAAACAAAGGAAAGATAAACATATGCAAATGTAAATATTATATTTAGTTACTAATATACATTGAATAAGCAAATACTTGAACAAAAGTATAAAATCTTTGGTGTTTCTCAACTCTTAATTCACGATTGTATCTCTCACAAAAATACTTGAATCTTTTATTTAGTGAACTCTGTCCTGATTGAAGAGTGTATGTGTGTGTAATGAACAGGAACCAAAGAAAAATTTACATATTACTTTTGCAAAAAGTTTATTCTTTCTTATCATCTGGCAACCATATGTTTATGCTAGTTCCTTTAAAACAAAATAGATCTGGAATATTATGAAGCGTATATGAATGTTGTGTAGTCAATCCCTTTGGATATTGTCTTGTCTACTTACTTGGATTGAAATATTACTCACTGAAAATACTCGCCGCTATAATACGTGAATGCAGATCATAACCTCATAATATGCTTATAAAATAGTAAATATTGAAACATTTAAATACGCCCAAAAACGGCAAAATTGAAGTTTGATTGAGCATATACTATGACCTAGTTTCTCTATTAGAGCTCACATCAGCAAATGTTCAGTGTTGTGTGATAACTGTTAAACAATTGTCTCAGCAATTTTTCTAGTATCTGATCTCGAGATAAAATATCTATCCTGGCAATAAATTCTCTTACTATTGCAGACAGAGCATTTTTATCAGACAGTAAGGCGTGCTACTTCTCCTTATGGTGTTGTGTCGCATCTTCAAAACTGGACAGCCTTTTTCTCAGTTTAACACTAGCTGTTTACAGATACCATATTGTCTGTCTTCTCCACATATGAAGTGCTTTAAGAAACTAAGACAAGCAAAACGCAAAACTAATCCCTAAATTACCCCTGAAATGTAAATTGGTTATGATTCGCATATATTTGCATGCCATAGTTACATTTCGTAATGATTCGTATTCAATTGTATGTTGTTAGTTTTTTTAAATAAAACTATTCGTTAATCATTCGCTTTCACCTGTCATAAAAATGTTATAAAAATGTTATAAGAATTGTTACAGTTCGTAAATATTTACTATTATTTGTACAAATTCGCAACATATCACAAAGGTTCGTTTAATGTACAAATGAGTTTATAATGAACCGACAGCACGTTACTTTTATGCAAACCGACGAATGCTTTACGACTGATGAACGCAATGTAATGCGCAAGGTGATGTCTTGACTTTTCGCCCAAGTATGAGAAAATCTTGAAATCTCAGAAAAGTCCGTAATATTTACTAACTTTTTATTTATCTTTTTTATATTATTTATTTATTTATTTATTATTATTCTTGTATTTTTCTTTTGCAAATTCTAACATCGTTTTCATTTTCGCTTCATTTAGGCAGATTATGAGTTTTCTTACCAACAAAACAAGGCGTTGTTGAAAAAGATATACATATGAAGCTGTTTAACATATTATCTTATATGTCTATCTTATTTTAGAAATAAAACATAATCTGACATGTACTAACGTCACCTTCCCAATTGATGTTCAGATAGCTTGGTGTCAACTCAGAAATAATAACACTCACAAAAGTATTTATTTGACTGAAATCTGTGAAAATTGTGTAATACAGTACAATTGTGATTAAAAATGCAATTACTTTAGAATACTTCTTGCCATACTTACATAAGCAAATGTGAGATATAAAATCATTTGTATCTTTTTTATATCCCTTAATCCTACACACATGTAATATTACATATAGATAACGTACGTGTACTTGTACCTGATATGATTAAATATACTTAAAAAAAATAATTTTGGTATTTTGGTTAACATATATTAAAGCGTAAGTTACACTGATATACCATTTCACAATCTTCGTATTTATACTTATTTTTGGTAACCCTAGCAAGGGCTTGGCCCAAAATGATTACTTTTTCCCTTATGCTTTATCATGCCAACCCTAGATAAGCTCATCTGCGAGCACGTTGTTTTCGGCAATACTTCTTTCTTTCTGTTTTAGGAATCGTTATTATGATATTTACATTAAACAGAAAATATAATCTTACTTTAAATGTTGCGTTTTCAAAAACATTCTTTCTTTTTGTTGACATATTCGGCCTTATCAACAAAAAGCAGTAACAATGAATGTAGTAGAATGTCACTGGATTTGTTTTAAAAAAACTGGAAATGTTTGATCGCTCGTAAGCATTAATCACAACAAGATAACATGAAAATTGCAGACGCTGTTAGATTGGTTTATACAGAATTTATTTTAGTTCGATTATGTAGGGAGCTATAAGCTTGTGGACACACTTTCTAATCCGTTCCTGGAACCAACCAGTACTGAACAATTATAGTAAAGTTTCTTGCTCAAGGAAACAACAACTTGCCTCTGACGGGGTTTGAACTATGTTCGATTGAGTCTGTTATTGAGGAAAATGAAAACGTGTAACATTCATTAGCCCCCCCCCCAGTATATTCAATTCTCAATACTTTAAGTATTGAAATCAATTATCCCGAAAGACCAGACAAATATAACTACACTAAAGTAAAATTATTTACACGGTTTATGTAAAATAGACTCTATAAACAGATTTAATCAAAGCGAGGCTGCAGCAATTTGCCCGTTCGGATGTTCTTTAAGGTTTTAGATTCACTATTTTAGCTAAGAACACGAGACATATAAAGATACTGAATTAGAGTAGATTTAATACTAAATTTATTGAACTAGTTAAATATAATCATTTATGCGAGCCTTTTGCAACGGTGTCGATACATTACGCATTAAATCATTGAATATTATATTCTGTTTATCGCATATCCAAACAATAAATGGTTTACAAATAAAAAGGGTCATTTAACATAGACGCGCCTAATGAGAAATGCTTACTTTAGCATTTTCGATGTTTGAATGTATCGCAAATGACGTCACCTCAAACGGTTTTTGATAAGTTACAAATCGTTTGTATTAACTTACTTTATTATACATTTGCATACATTACATATTAGATAATTAAGCTAAGAATAACAAGTCCTATTATTGTAAACAAACTCTATTATATTTATGGCATATTCATAGGAAAATGACAGCAACAGAGCACTCATACTCTGATAAGACAAAATGTTTAGTTTAGTTTTAAGATACAGAGATTCATATAATATAAAAGCATAACATATATTTGAAATTCACTGAAATGTTTAAACACTGTTCTTTGTTTCGTTCATTTTCTAAATGTAAAACGGTAGATGCGTTATATATATATTATATATAACATTGCAAAAAAAACATAATTAACAGGACTGCTACTAAAGTGTCTTATAATTAAAATAACAAAACGAATAGGAAGATAGACGAGTGACAAATTTATTCTTATTCGCTTGGTCTTTGGAATTTTCAAATATTCTATTGCATGGCAAAATGAATATAACAGTGATTAGATTTACTTATGAAAGGTTTTATTAATGAAACTTTGCCCCGCGCCCTCGCTAAAAAACGTTTTTTCGCTCCGCGCCCCTGCCATTTTAACTTGTAGTAAATTCTTAACTTCGCTTGGCGTTTTATTTCTTAAATCTCGCCCCGCGCCCTCGCTAATTATCGTGTTTTCGCTCCGCGCCACTGCCCTTTTAAATAATTATTTCTCGACCTTTTTGCTTGGCGGGGTCGCGGGGCGAAAACACGAATGGCACAATTCAGCCACTATAAAGGTAATCAATATAGTAAATTTATATGTTGAATAAGACGCAGAAATTATTAAACGAATTATTCAAAACAATGATATCTGACATAAATGATTAATTTTCGAATAGTCACTATGTAAAATTACATAACTTTTATGTCTATCAGCAAAATTAATTGGTACTGCGTATTGGTAATCTTCTGAAATGATTGATGGTTAGGATCATTTATACAGTACTTCGAAGCATTTTCTTATTCCTGACACAAACAAATCGCTTAAAACAATTTAGATAGAAATGATTATCATAATTTAAAAAAAAACATATGTGGTAGTTTTTAGCTGCATGTATATGTAACTCATTACTTGTCTTTTACTTTTCATTTAAGAAATAACATCGGCCTGAGAGATGTATATCGGCTATTTAACACCGGTTTGGAGTTTTGATGCGTAGGAATTGACCACGAAGGCCGTATGCCTGAGTGGTTAATTTTGTCGCATCAAAACGACAAAACCGGTGTTAAATAGCCGATATACACCTCTCAGGCCGATGTTATTTCGATTCTAACACGATAAAATAAGGAAAAACGATATCACTACAGTAATGTTATTTTTCAAGCGGAAATATTTTCAGGTGCTAATTTTTGTATAACGCTGTTCGATTTTCGCACCCTACTGTTACGAAGATAAAGAAATTATTAAACAAAAGAAATAATAAGAAAAAAACGTTACTTATCAAGTTTTCAACAATAAAAACTTACGTCGTATTGTGTTTACATCAGTGCCCCATTGATCATTTTTGTATGTATGAAATAACGTCAGCTTGTTTATGAATGAGTTGTTTACTTAGGATGACGTCATTACGCTGCTTACGGATTGGCGCCGTTTTGTCAAAATATTTATTAACTGATATGGATCTAATTTGTGGCGTTAGTGTATGTGAGATATTATTCCGGTATTGTATGAAAAGAAAACATTATACCAACTGAAAATATGAATAAAAATGCTTTTTATTGTTGCTTTAAAATGCTTTGTAATCGAGGGTGAAAACATAACAGCGCATATACAAGTAGTCCCTAACCGGTGTTTATTGGCAGTTTAACACCAGTTTTTTTTCCTTCTTTGTCTATAGTGACAAAATCACGTGAGTGTTAGAATACATAACAAATTAACAAAGCTTGCCAGATTTTAAGTATCTTCCGATACATCATTTTTTGTATACCCTTATCTAACTCAGTCATTAAATATTGCTCTAAATAATCAATTTGATAAAATTTATGCAAGCCTCTTCCATACATTTTCTTCAACAACAAAAAACAACATAACTAATCTCTTATGACCCTGAAATGAAAAGTGATGCCACGCTTTCCGCCCAAATCGGGCACAAAATCGCGCAGATTAATCATTTTTCAATTTGATTAAGTACATATTACTTAATTATCCTTTACAGATTGGTCCATTTGAAGTGCTTAACTTGATCCATGTACGATTTTCAAATGTTATAGTTTAAGGTTTTTGGACCTATATGAAGCTCCTTTAAAGTGCACTTATCACATTATGTTTCTTTTTTCAAATCTAGACAACGTATCTGGCAAAAATTATAAATAAATGTTAAAAATAACATCAATGACTGAAGTTTAAGTGAAATAAGAATCATCGTCATTGATCTGACAAGATTAAGATGAAGCAATATATTTATCACTGTATATCAATTTCACTTCAAGTAAAAAAAGGGTATAAATGTTTAAGTAGTTTAGCTATATACATGTACTAGTATTGTGTCATGACAAATCAACAAATAGTCACTATTTAAGATCAATTGTGATTGATAAAGTCTGGCACCGCCTCTTCGTTGAATTTTGTAACACTCTCTATCCAATCATAGAACATGCCAACGTTTGTGTAAACACCGTAGTGTTTATCCACATCACATCCCCTGCCCCAAGAAACGACTCCGGTAAGAACCCATCTTGTGTTCGTTGCCATTATTAAGCCACCTCCACTGTCCCCTTCGCAACTGTCTCCAGTTCTACCAATCTTTAATTGGGGAGAAAAATAAAAACTGGCAAATATAAATACCACAGGCAAGTGAATAACAAAATAAATATTAATTTCATTTTATTTACACAAAGCGCGCTAACAATGAAAGTGTTTTTTTTTATAATTTCCAGAACATTTGTGTTTTGAAATGTAATGTATTGTTTGTTTGTTAAAGGGATACTCAGGCAAAATATTGACAAAAATTTAAAAATGATATTATGTACTCAAATCACGCTAAAATGACATTTCTTAAAGTCCCAGCATGAATTTCTGTATAAATTCTATATATTTTGGGTTTGAAGCTTAAATATATCTATATATGTTGAACGAAATTTAGACGCCAACAAAATCACCGAATAGCTTATAAACAAGCCATGTGACTTAAACAAACCCTAGAAAATACAAAAAAAAACAGGAATTGTGAATATTGTATGACTGAAAGAAGTCTAACTAATTGATTTGACATGTTCTTTAACGTTTCCAGAGTTCACTGTGACAACTATTGTGAAATCTTAGCGCTCTAACCTGACCCACGCGGGTCAAGTTAGGAAAACACCATTTTTTTTTCTTTATATGCAGAAAAGTTTTGTTCCTTTGACTGTCTAGCGTATTCATTTTGAGGACATTTGCAGAATAATAAATGAAAAAGTCAAAACTAAGAAATGAAAATTTTGCCTGTGTCTCCCTTTAAATAAAATTCAAAAGCAAACAGAATCACCAAATTATTTTTAAGCAAATTGCATTACAAAAACAAAATAGAGAAAATAAGAATCCCTAAAGAAAGCCCAACATGTCAAAATTGAAAATGTTGCAGGCTCGGTTTTATTGAGCCTGTTCATGGACGGTACTGTCAAGTGCAAACATGCCTCGAATGTTACAAGAAAAACTTGGAATATACTTTAAGTGTAAAACAAATGTAGGTATTTGACTTGATGGGTATTGTTCCGTTCCAATGGTTCACTGCGATATTTAGCGTAAAGTCTTGAGTCTTCTTACTGACCACGTTAGACAACTTCAAAAGGAGAAAATCTTTGCCCTAGAACTGCGTAATCTGCTCATTTCGAGGACAATAATAGAATATCTGATTGAAAGTTCAGTAAGAAGAAATAGGTTTTGTCTGTGTCTCTTTTAAGAAGATGATACATTATAATAAATTAATGAATGTTTGCCATGGCAGGTTAACTTCGGTTAAACATTGAAATACATTAACGTCATTGCGATTATTGTTTTAAAATCGACAAATATTGATTCATATGCCAGATAATATCATTATTTTTATGTTTGTGCGTGTTTTCTTTTTATCCGAAATGTTAATGAGTGATTAGAGAAATAATTATAATTAATTTTAAACATTACTTGGCTATCAGATTAAAAACCGTACGTGTTCGATGTAATGAAACCATATAAATATATAATACTTACTTTACTCCCAGCACAAAACATTGTGTCAGTGAGTTTATGGCGATCGTTGCCCATTGATTCAAGACATGTTTCTCTGTCCGCATACGGAATATCTACATGCTATAAAATGAAATAAGTACATGTTATAAAATGCATTATACTAAAAGGTATGAAAAACAAGATCAACAAGGAAAGGCGACTTTCAATGAACGCAAACCCAGCACAAGACATTGTGTCAGTGAGTTTATGGCGTTCGTTGCCCATTGATTCAAGACATGTTTCTCTGTCCACATACGGAACATATACATCCTATAATATGACATAGGTTCATGTTGCAAATGCATTTAACTAAAACAATATGAAAAAAAAACAAGAGTGAAAGGATCACTAAACCCCTCATTCATTTGCCTATATAAACCAGTTAAATAGATTTATAAAATCTAGTTTATTACCACTAACCAGTGTTCGACAAAACGGACAAAAACCATTTACTATCTTTGAATCTTAGTATTAATATCTTAAATAACTACCCTCAGTCTCTGGGGCAATGATGTGGCTTTTTGTCTTGTTTTACCGCAACCAGCGACTTTCCCAATCACACGACCAAATGAGGCACTGTTTTCTAGAAACACCCTGTCATTGTATTCCGCCGGTTCAACACATATAGGGCGTATATCATCGGTGTATTCAACCAAACTGTCCAATTCTATCAATGCTATATCATTATCAAAAGTTCCTCTTTCTTCGTAATCTGGATGAACAGTAAAGCTCCGTACTTTTCTTCTTTTCCCATCATTCTGAATTCCTAGACAATCTGTGGTACCTGAATTTAGAAAAAAAAGAAGAAATTTAGATAATCTTATTAAAATAATGAAAAAGCTTATTTGTGTTTTTCTTAACTAAAAATAATTGACGTTTACAGACGATAATGGTTATTGGAAAATAAAGGTTTGAAATGGGATTCGAGTACATAAACCTGAAACAAATTCATTATGGGATTCAAATATTTTATCGTGTTATTGCCTTAAATGGTTTCTATATTTTATATGATTGCTGTAAACTATGCATTGCCAAATGATTCGAAAAAAATACAAGAGGGTTATCATGTTACAAGCTTGCTCACCAATATACAATAATTTCTAAACAAGTCCATAATTTCCACAATGAAATGTACATCACTAGGTAATAAAACGGAGAAAAGAAGTATCCCTTAAGAACGCATAAAACGCTAATAAAAACGGCCAGTTCATGGACAGTACAGGACAGTTGAAGTTACTGTCCATGTCCAATAGCACAGTTTTAAGCAGAATGCAACACATTTAAAGATAAAACTAGTGAAAGTTTGGATTTGAAAACATCGGCAGATGTTATCATGCAGCCTTATATGTGACACGTTTGTATCATCTCATGTAAAACGACCTATGATCCCCAAGTTAATGAATGCGAATGCCCTAAACGAGAAAACAATAGCCACAACCTAATATGTACCTGGTGTCCAATTAGATTTTTGTTATTTTTAGTATTGAACATTGAATAAGTCAGATTATATTTTATACTGTTAACATTAATTACATAATTTTAAGACATATTATATTTACCAAGTAAAAGTTCTACATTTTTTGCCCCAAAATCAACACCAAAAATCTCGCTGAACTCTTCAATACAATGAGCAGCAGTGACAACGAACCTCTGTGAAATCAATGATCCACCACAAAACGCCCTTTTTCTGGACGCATCCTTGCAATATAAAATACATTTAAGTTTAAAGTTTTTATTCTTTAGTGGTTTTTATTTTAAATTTATTTTTTTTAGTTTTAATTAATTTCATGTAAATGAAGAAAAACGGAATCCCTAAAGAACGCCTTACAACACAACGGAATCCCTAAAGAACAAGTTTTTCAAAAGTCAAATAAATGTACAAAAATGATGTCATTATGTTTTGTTTATTTCTGAAACGAACACGTATTATTTATAATTTTACTTTCCATTTTTTACATTATAGTTGAAAGTCTTAATGAATTATATCTTATTTACCTAAAAAAGAAAGAAAAAACATGGAATCATGCCGTGCAATGATTGATGCGTTGAACCTAAATTTGCAAATAAAATATTGTAACAATTCATAGTACAATAACAGTTATTTGACTAACATTATGCCACAAACATGAATTATGTTTCCTTCTTTAGAATAGGAAAACTTGAGTTTTATAATGTTTTTAAAAGGGTTTGTGAAGATGTTAAATATTCATTACTGTAGAGAGTAGCGCTGAATTAAATACAATGGAGACAAAGTAATAATTTGGACTCCATATAAAATTCCAAAACACAAGCAGTTTAGAATGATTTCTTTTACATAAGAAGATTTACACAATGGAAAAAGGTTATGCTTCGTTTCTATTCTAATACGTAATTTTAAATAGATTTCAAACACTCACTGAAACATGATTACACCATAAGTTAAGCAATAGAAAAAGTCTTCACTCAGTAGAGTTTTTCTCGACTAATTCAAGAATGATCAAACTATCAAAACCTACCTTCATTTAGTACATACAGTTTAATTATTTTTTAATCAAACTATTACAGAAATATAATTGCAGTCTGCTAACGCGGCAAAGATCCTTAAATATTTGACTTTGCTTGGATTCGTCCTACAAAGGTTATACAATAAAGAAATCATGAGATGATTTAATAAACCTACTAATAAACTAAATATAACTTTAAATGTTTTGTTGTCTGACTGTTTTTACTGGGTTTTTTTTCACTATCAGAGGAAAAACTTTGGTAAGCGAATTGTGAAAATGCAGGTTTATTTCTGCTTAGACATTTATAATAAGTGAGCAAGTACAATACACAGATACAAAGATTAAAAGCTAACTTTATATGTGACTTTCGTTTTCTCTAAAAAGATTATATATTTTGCGTTTTACACTTTATACATTCTTAATAATATATCGTTGTACTTACTCCTGTAGATCTGAATGTAACATGCCATGGGTACATTTTAGGAGGTGCTTCAGATCCCTTTGAAATTCTTGAACTCAAAAATGCCTCTTCATGAATGGATATTCCACAATCTGGTTAGAAAACAATTTTATGATTTCAGTTTATTATTTTCATCTTTCCAAAGGTAAAGATATTTTCGTGATGATTTTTTGTGAATCATTTACCGTTTTAAACAAATTTGGAAGTAACATGAATAGGATACTTAATACTTCACCGAATTTTCTAGCATAATTTATATCTAAGAAAAATATGATCACTTAAATAAAAAAAATATTTTGGAGAAAATCCTCCAGCAAAAGCGAAATGTGATAATTTAGAATAGATCTCATTGTCGGCAATAAATCATCTCAACACTTTTGAAGCAGAATCTTTCTTAAATCGTAAATATTTGATTATATTTAAAATATGAAATATTCAATGCATTTTTTATATTTAATGCAATTGCTTTCTAGTTTCCGAAAATCGAAATGGGTAAGTGTTTTTTAAAACGGAGCGATTGAAAATCCTAACTCTGTTTGAACAGTCTTAACAAACTATAAGTGTAGCATTTTGAAGCAAATATTGTTTCCTCTATGATCTTCACATGAATGTCTTGTTTTTGCTACATGCTAATGTGATGACACATTTGTGGCCCTCCTTGGATTTAATCGTCTACGGTTAAGTAGATAGGACTCTATGACACCTCGACCCCTTAGACCCCTAAGACACTAAGACCCCTTAAATTGACTGGACATTTCGACCCCTTAATTATTCTATAATGTAATTAAGACGTTACTTCAAAAAAATGTGCATGAATACATTAATTCAGAAAGGAATGTTTTTTTTACAAGTTCGATTTTTTTTATATTTTGATATGTTTAATTTATTATAAGTGAAAACATAATCAGTCATCTTATCGATGGATGATCACCAAACTTTGTCTGAAGCATTCTTAGGTAGTCTCTTATCAAGTTTGCTCATATTATTTTAATTGGTCCCTTTTAGAGGGCCTCCAAAGCTAAAAATTGAAAAACCTTTGAACATGTCTTCAGCATTCTTAGGTAGTCTTTTATCAAGTTTGTTCATATTTATTTGATTTGCCCCTTGAAGGGGACGCTAAAGCTAAATATAGAAAAACCTTTGAACACCATCTCCTACTGAAATATTTGATGGATGATCACCAAACTTTGTCTGTAATATTCTTAGGTGGTCTTTTATCAAGTTTGCTCTTATTAATTTGATTGGCCCTGTTTAAGCTAAAGCTTAAATGTCCCAGGTCATGGCATTTCTTCAAATTATAGTTTAAAGATATTCTATGCTCAAATTTAATATTAGAAAATATTGACAATGGATACACATTCTCTTTACAAATATAAAAAAAACGTGTTTTGACTTCACACAAAGTAGATATGGTATGTTTTAAACTCCTCACACTATAGGTGGTCGCAGTATAAATATAATGATAGTGTCAAAAAAAACTTTTTTATATAGAAAAGACCAATTTTTCTTGGCCTATCATAGGATATGCAGCTTCCAATAAATAGTTTATTCATTCTCTTATCAAAATTAGACATTTCAAGTAAGAATTTCGTGAATTTCAATAAATTTCTATGACTCAAAGATGGAGATAGGATATCTTTTCATAATGATAGGGAATCAACTCATGTTGATTCGTGTACATAAATATGTTATGCAATTTTTGCAAAAGAGATTCAATGGCTTGGGAAAGTCTTATTGTCATGACCTGTTTATGATACGTAAATATCTTTCAGCTCTAGAATTCGGACATCATATTGCATCATTGTTAGGTCAGTTGTAGGTCATCAACCAGGAAAAAATAGGCCTAAAGACCTTACTAACAAAGATGAGTTTGTTTGCTCAATTTTTTTATCGAATTTTGGTAAAAATTGTATTTTTTCCATTTTTTTGTTGAATTGGATTTAAACTTGGAAAAAGCACATTTCAATAACTTTTGGGACATACTGTTGAACCTGAGTTTCATGTGCATAATTGAATTTTGGCATCAGTTGAGCTGTTTTTGATATTCTTGAAACCATTGCACATACTTTCTTGTTTTTGATGTACGGAAAAAAACAAGAATAAAGATCAACAAGGCAAAGGCAACGTTCACAGGACGCGGCCCCCGATACTTTAAAAAAAACCTAGGGCGGACATAAGGATGAAAGGAGTGGGACATGTAATGTGAAATAATATCAACGGAGACTTTAAATTTGGAATGATGTAAAGAGACATGAAACTTGGACCAGGAATGTAATAAATGTTTGATATTGTTTGACCTAGTTTGTCGTTTTTTGATGTACCTGCTGAACAAGGGGTTTAATTTCTGATCCTTTTATGTGTTCCTCTTAATCTCTTGTGTGAATACACATGTCGATAACATTAAACACCATGTCAATTATAAAATTGTTGTGCTAGATAAACAGAGAATTAAAATAATTTTCAACACTGAAAAGCATTTGTCAACTTTTCTTTCATGAGTTGGACATATATCTAAAAATTATGTGAACTTTAATATAAATATTTGGAAAAGGTAAAAAAAAATGACTAAACGAAATGCACTATAAAAAAAGATTAATACACGGTAGAGTAGGTGATAATCGGCCCTCTGATAATTTTAAACACTGAAAAGCAGTTGTTTCTGGTGAGCGACTCAGGGCCATCATGGCCCTCTTTTTTTGTCTTTTTTTTTTAAATTTAAATACATTTCTAATAGTCGTTTTGTAATTCTCATTTTTGTAATCAAATACTGTCATTTCTGTCCATGTACATTTGTTTAGTTTGCTAACATCAATTTGAGACTTACTGGTTCTTTGCATACTTAATTTTAATGAAATTACACGTGCGTGTATTGTTAGACATGAAATAAATGATATAGTTTGATGACTATCAGAAACCGAATTTCTTACACCATATCTGTGTGCACAATATCTCATTTTTAAAGTAACACTGTTATGATGTAATAAACACACAAAGCAATATTTAACGTTTAACAGAAGGTCGACAAGAGCAGCACCATTCAAATACAGATTTCAGTTAACTTGTAGTAATTATAATTGATTGTTATTAGAAATGAACTGTATACAGTATACTAAGGAAAAACGAATATTCTTTCATGAGTTGGACATATATCTAAAAATTATGTGAACTTTAATATAAATATTTGGAAAAGGTAAAAAAAATGACTAAACGAAATGCACTATAAAAAGAGATTAATACACGGCAGAGTAGGTGATAATCGGCCCGCAAAATAAATAATGGTTCCGAGGGCTTCAGCCAAAGGGAATTATTCATTCCAGGGCCGATTAACACCTTCTTGCCCATCTTTGACGTGTGTTAATGTCTTTTATAAAACTGAAAAATCTAACATTTACTTTGATATTTCTTTCGTTGAAATTCCTATCTCTGTAGATTTCAACTGTACAATACAACACTGTACAGTAACTTCTACAGAGTTACTTTCCTTATGTGTATGCAACAGAAGTAGCACGTTTTATTTTCAAGGAATAAAACTGTAGCTTATATTTTCCTTTAAATTTCAATAAAGCTGTGTTTATAGAAATAACGCTTATGTTCTACTTATAAAATCAAGATATGTGTGCTTTGAACAATCCTACTTTCACTTTTACGGGTAGCTGTTTTGATGACGTAAAATGTGACGTCACTGATGCAGTTTATGCACGTACTTCAATTCAATTCAATTTCTTTATTCAGCATATGAACATTATATGTTCGTTGCCATTTATCATGGTGACAGCGGTTACAATATTTGAGAAGAGCATGGTAATATATAAACATACATAATCAATTCACATTACACTATGTAAAATTAAGTATGTATACCAATATTTGTACACACCGACTCTCGATAGGCCAGTAAGAGGATATTAAGCCTGTGAAATATGCAAAAACATTTGGATATTCACTTGAACTTATTCTTTAAAATTATCATTTCAGCCGCCTTCATAAGCCTGTGTGTTCAAATACTGGTTTATATTTTTAGTTAAAGCTATGCTACTTAACAAACTTATTGTAAAGTATCAAAAAAAAATAAAAAATAAAATAACAATAAGAACGTTATACTTAATGACATATAGATCTAAGGCTAAAACTAAAGGGAGACAATCTGGTTCTTGTTTTATGCAATCATATTAAAGGAGTAACCTCCTTAATACTTTTGTGCTTAACATTTAAAAAATTGTAGCAACAATTGTATGTATAAAAAAAACTTACTGCAGCATTATTTTATGATTACATCAACTATGTTTCTACATCTATTACAATACTACTGATCAATAGACTAGTGACGTTTATTATCAGCCAGAAAACATATTTACGCAAGTTTACATAACACACCAGATGACTGGCAAGTTAACAGTCCTTGAAATTTCTGTATAGTTGGCCAATGGCAATAATATTTTGGGAGACATTAGATTTCTTATAGTACGATATTGCGGACAGACAATTACAAAATGATACTTCGTCTCTATGACATCATGTTACAAAATATACATTCCTTTCCTATCCTACCTTAATGTTCGCATAACGCCTCTTGCTTGCAAGTTTATGTGAGCAGAGCTACCGTAGTCTAGTTAATGCTATTCTAGTGCTTATTCACCTAACACATAACAAATATTTTTTAATATCAAAACATCTTTTTTATTACTTTATATGTAGTAAGTTTAGGCATCAGTGTCTAAACGTACCAAAAGAATTACTGACAAAATTGACTATAATAGAACATCTCTATTACCTTACTTAATTGTAGGTCAGTAACTAGATACATTATTCCATTAAATAACTGAAAACCCAAATCATCTAGCAGTGAGTTAACCCTAGGGCCCATGAAATCTTTCCACCAGATTAAGCTTATCATGCATAAAACATTTTATGAATTAATGTATCACGGAGACCTAACAATCTTACAGGCCAATACTCTAAGAATTCTTTCTTTCTCAAGATATCAGAGGCACTTTACCAAGCTCACCATAGACACGTTGCAAATTCGTTGTCTGGTATTTAACATTTAAAATTGATTTCAAAAACCTTAATATAAACCTTTTCCATATTCTGG